ACCCACAAACAAAAACAACTTACTATTTTATTACAAAATATATTCAAACACCAATCAAAATACCTCAAATACATCATCAACATGTCATTGAGCTAAAAACACAAAATCAAACAAGCATAAAAACCAAGAATTATACCTTTAGTGCAAGCCTCACCAACATATTATTGACCAAAACTTAACCAAACTATTATAACAAAAGTTTAAGCAATCTAAAGCAAGCTTAAAACAAGAACAAAAACAAAATAAATTTTGTTGAAAAAATTCATATTATTCCAACACCAAAATCAAACTAAAAAATATAAGATAAGCTCAAATAACATAAAAAAAGATTTATATTTTAAGAAAACATGAATAGACAAGCCATATTGACTCCACTCTTGAACTTTTACATGGTTATACCTTCTTTAAGCTTGCTGGTTATAGACTACTGTTTTTCTCCTCTCTCTCTCTCTCTTTCTTTTTATCCTTTAATCATCTTTTCTTTCCAAAACTTGTTAGACCGTCTATGTAAAGTTTTTGAACCTTCATACTAGGATCTTTTCATAGTGTGTTTCTTTATGTTTTTTCTCTCCTTTGTTTTTATTTCTATGGGTTATTTATAGGGTTTTGATAGGGTTCTTGATGAATTTAAACATTAATTGATCAAAACTTAGCTTTTTAATCAAAATAAAAGAGTTTTAGAAAAATATTAACAACAAGAACTTCTTTCCTTCAATGGTTTTGGGTTGGTGGTTTTGTAACAAATTTTCTAAGGTACTTTTGTTTTACTCAGAGATAGGCATGCATTCCTCACCTTTTAATTTGGGATGAATGATTTATGACCCTTAATAAGAACTATATGAGAATTTCTAAGTGTGAACAAATGAGTATCCTAATCAAGGCTAACTAAATTGACCAATTTCGAGGTTTTGCCTAAGCAACTTCAATGCTAACGTCATTGGAGACCACCTGAACTTGATAGATGAGAAGCATACCTTCAATTGGATCTATTCTTGCTCAATTTAGAAGTTTATAGCTTCACTTTTATTTGTTTGATGGTGCCAACTTAATCAACAAAGAATCTGAAAATGTAATGATGAATGATTAGAAATAAGATGTTGTTAAGTTTATTGAAGAAAATAAGATGTAAATATTTGATATGAGTAACTGATCTTTATAGAGAATGTATTTTTCAATTGAATGATGATGATTATAACCTAGAAGTAATCAGAGATGTCACATTCATTTGCCTAAAAGCACCCACTCGATCAACCAAAACTGTTAAAACGAAGCCAAACAGTGGTCGCACTCTTAATTTCATGCAATTTCATCCCTGTCAAACTCAATCATCAGCCTCAAAGTTCAACATCATTTTTATCTTGGTCATTGGCTTCTAATTTGTGCACTTGAAAACTTAATTGACCATCAAACTTTAATTTTTTTTTCAATTTGACCCTTACAATTATGCATCCTTTTCAGTATAGTTATTGGTTTTAGACTTCTTCAATCAAGTCTCTAATTGCTAATTAAAATTTAATATTTATGCAATGAAGCCCCTGATTTGACTAAATTAACTTTGTAAAATTGTATTTCGACTCCCTGCCTTTAATTTTTTATAATTAAAGCTTAAATTAACTTTAAAAATAATTTTTTCTTTCAATTAAGTCCTCAATAAAATAATTAAACCTTCCAAAATTCTTATTAAGTCTTTACCTATCCAAATTTGTATTTCTTTACCCAAAATAAAAATATTTTCACTAATGGACCCCTTTGTCAATTAAAATTGAGTCGTCAATTTTATCAATCTTATACATTTTGATCCTCCAACTTTTTCACTTGTCATTTTGATCCTTCACTGCCAATTTGGATAATCTTCTAGGCTTTCTTCTAGTATATCCTTTTGTATTTTGTATTTTCTTTTTAATTTTTTATTGGATCAAAAGAGGGTAACAACACCTCTAACAAGCATTTTTATGTATAATTATACTTATTACATTTTTAATTTTTAGTTAGATCTCAAATATTTTATTGTATCATAAAATACGATCCAAGTTAATAAATTTATGCATGTTAACTATCCTTTAAGTTTAACTTTTGAAATCAAATGATTTTCCTTTAATATCTAAAAATACAAGACAAATGCATGATTTATTATTTTTTATATGTTTAATTAATTCATGATAAAAAAACATATTTAAAAGTAAATTTAAATTCTAATAATTCATGCTTATCTTATTTTCTTAAGACATCATATGCATTTTTTTTTATAAAGAAATTAAGTCGAAATTATGATACATTATTAAAATTTCCTGAATTCTTCAAGTGAATTTCATATAATATCCAAGTTTAGTTTTTATATGAACTACCACTACCAAACTCTTAGAAATATTGAAGGAATTTTTTGTTGGTATTTTTACTTTTATTCCGTCAGCATTAAATTTATTGATAGACTCATGGACAAAAGTGCTCCACCAGTAAAACTCTTGTTCGTAATTTTTTATCTATAGGTGAGTCTATCAATAATAAAATTACCATTAGATTTATTGACATAAAAAGCACGCAAAATCAATAATAAAATTACCATTAGATTTATTAACATAAAAAGCACGTAAAAAAAAAATTACCACTTCATTCCGATGGTATTTCCTCTGGGAATTTTGCCATATAACCGTAAAAAATAACTTATGAAATTCTATTAGCAATAAATAGTGGCACAACAACATTTGCAATAATTCTTTTTCAACTCTCTACAATACATCAATGTCAAACTTAATTCATCCGTAATACCATTAGTAATTATTTTAAAATATTTTTTGAAAACATCCATTTAATAGATTTCAAAAATAATTAAATTAATATAAATTAACACTTCAATACTTAGAACCAAGTTGCAAATTAACACTTCAATACTTAGAACCAAGCTGCTTGAAAAAAAAATCAACTCAAACAAATTTACAACAAATAAATAACATAAAAAAAAACAATGGAAACAAATAAATAAATACACTAAAAACAACTTCCCCTTGACCCAGAAAACCTGTTTCAAAACCCATAGCAAAAAAATATAATAATTTAATTGAAATTGAACAACAAAATTGAAAAACAAATCCAACAAAATTAATCTCATATGAAAAAAAAATCATACAACTACATCATACAATTATTAAGAATAGAAAAATTTAAATTTAAAATAAAAAATATAATGCAAGAAAAAAACACATAAAAAAAAGGAAAAAAAAGCTTACCTACATGTATTTGCAAGTGAAGTTGAGAAGAGAAAAGAAAAAATAAATTCACAAAGTATGTTAATTAAAAAAACTAGAAAGAGAAAAAAAAGGAGATAAGAAGATATACTTGCGTTTGGAGGAGAAAAGAAAAGAAGAGAAGTACTCGAGGAGAGAAGAGAAAGAAAGAAAAGGAAGTCAGTGTTTTTTACATTACGAAAGAGGAAAGAAAAAGAAGGAGAAGGTGACATGTTTGTTAAGAAATGAGGGATTCTAGTCATTTTATTGAGGTATTTTACCGATAATTTTACCTATAACTAATTAAATATTAGTATTTTTAATTATTCTATCAGTGATTTTATCTGTAATATTTAATTTAAATTTTTAATTTAAAAAAAAATTCAGAAACCCCTCAAATACTACCAAAGACTTTTCAATCTGTTGATGAAATCGTCTGTAATATTTAATTTAAATTTTTAATTTAATATAAAATTTTCAAAACCCCCTCAAATATCACTAATAACGTTTCAATCCACTAGTGATTTCATCTATATAAAAATAATAATTAACAATGCAATTAAAAAGTGAACAGTTCTAGAACTCTTTGAAAAATACCGATGAAATTAGTTCATCAGTTATACCCTTTGAATTGACATAATAAACAGTGTTACAGAGAAGTGAACAGTTTAACAATGAATTTACAGACAGAACTACCAACGGTATTAATATTATTAGTATAAATAAGATGTCATTATACTTTTTGACTTAGTTTTAATTTTTTTTTCTACTGTAATTTTCTTGATATATACCGAAAGAATATTTTCATTGGTATTTACTAATAAATATAATAAAAGAATATTTTGTTGGTAAAATTTATTGTAATTTATCAATGAAAACATTTTGTTAGTATTTTTATTTATATTTGTCAATTTTCTAGCAGTAATATTTACATAGATATATTAACTAAAATTAAAAAAATAATTGATATAAATATACCCATAATGATTTATTAGACACATCCTTTAAAATACAAGAACATATGAGCTACTTACTTTAAAAGTCAAAGGCATTTTCCACATCAAAATATATTATGTGAAAGCTATATGAATTTTATGTTAGTTTGGATTGAAAAAAAATATAAAAATTTAGAGATTAAATTAGAATAGTTAGAGATATAAAGACAAAATTAAAAATTCACTGTATTATATAAGAACAAACCATACCATTTCCTTTTAAAATCTTAAAAAGTACATAAAAAATATTTATAAAAGCATTAAAAAAATCAACCCCTACCCATTTCATAACAAAGATATTACCAAGAATCAATCTCTAATTTATTTTATGATTTTTCTATCATTTTTTGGTATTTTTTAGGAAAAAAATATGATCCAAAAGTGTTGTTTTGCTATTAAAATTAATAGTAGAGAAGATATTTGAGAGTATAGTAGTTATTATTTTTTAAAATATTTTTGTTTTAAAATAATATTTTTTATTTTAAAAAAATTATTCTTAATATTAGTATATGAATAATATGAAAAAAAAATTAAAAAAATTAAGTTTTTTTAAATCTGCAGACACTAATGTGCGAGAAAGCCAACTTGTTTGGTTTCTGATCTTAAATTTTCCCAGGAGCAACCCTTTCCCTGGACTGGAAACTCTCTCCCTCGTTCTCGCCGCCACTTATGCATCACCTCATTCAACGTTCCGCGATTAAAATATTATCATCAGACAATTCTCATCCATCGATGGTATCATCAACGGTGCAGATAGGTCAGATACCCAAACGGTGGAAAATGAAAGAACTTATAAACCACGTTACACATGATTATCGAATCGAATCGAAGAAGCTCCTCCTCCTCCTCCTCCGCCTCCTCCACCCTCTCTTCTCAATAACTTTCCATTAGGTGAGATTCTAATCCTAATCCTAATCTACTTCTTAATTTCTTTCAATTATTTTATTATTTAGCTTGATCTAACCGGTATCGTTCATCACTAACCTGTTTGGATTCCGAGAGAATCAGAATCAAGAAATCTGTAATATATCAGTTGATAACTCATTAATCATATATGTATGAATATGTATACACACACACACACACACACACACACACACACACACACACACACACACACACACACACACACACACACACACACACACACACACACACACACACACACACATATTCATACATATATGATTAATGAGCTATCAACTGATTATTTATCTCTCTAAGTATGTCCAGTTGATTGACTCTTGAAAGAATTTTTCAAGTCAACAACCAGTGGTTTGTAAACATGCAGGTTAGCTGCGGCCTCTGTTGATAATAGTAATAATAATATATTTTTATTTATTCGTGTAGCGAGTAATTTTTAGGAATTAAAAGAAAAGAAAGGGAAAATGCAGGCATCAAGAGCGAGGTTATTTAAGGAATACAAAGAGGTTCAGAGAGAGAAAGTAGCTGATCCTGATATTCAATTAGCTTGTGATGATACTAACATTTTTAAATGGACTGCTCTAATCAAGGTAACATGTTTGTAAGTTTTTAGTGTCATATATGAAAAAAGTCTGTTATTTTATGGATGGATTGGTCTTGTGCGCGCGTAGGGACCGTCGGAGACTCCTTTTGAGGGTGGAGTTTTCCAGCTTGTGTTTTCTGTTCCGGAACAGTATCCTTTGCAGCCTCCGCAAGTCCGATTCTTGACAAAAATATTTCACCCAAATGTGCATTTTAAGGTATGAGTTGTTTGGTACGGTATGATATAGTTGCTGCTTAACCAATGTTTTGCAGGCAGATGATGATCTGTTATCTTAAAGCAGTGTTTAATGATTTTTACTGCAATTTCTTTGTTTTTCACTTTCAGCAACTATGTATTCTTAACGTGAAATAACTTCAATCCCAAAACCAATTGTGATCGAATATCTAATTAGCTATATGTGTAACTTACATTTTATGTCTTTATTACCTTAAAAGTAAATTATAATCCATGTGTTATTATTATATGGTGTATTCAGTTGGAGTTTATTTTGTTACATTCAGCCCCCTCTATATAATCATGATTCCAGCTCAACCTCTATCCATTTGGCCTCTTGTCTTTTATAGCTCGTTTATTTGGTTGATTTAAAACATTACATAAGATCCATAAGAAATGACTTGACATGTACGATAATGTTGGTAATTAGTGCTGTGATAAAGAGCTCATAAATAGTCTTTTGCTGGCACCCGAGTTCTGTGAGCTGCTAATGGCTCTTGTTTTACGGTTTTTCTGGACTAAACTTGAAATTTTGAACCGTGTGAAGCAGAGTGTTATCTACTTTGTAGAATCAGGTGGAGATTTTAAATTAAGTTTTGATATGTACAAACCTGGATTTGAGAATATATTTTCCTGTTGCTGATGCCATGCTGCTACAATTATTTGGAACTAGCTATAAATCTGTTTTCTAAGGAAAGGACTGGCCTGGTTGTAGCATTTGTTGATATGTGCCTTTTTCTTCGATTGATCCCAGGGTTTCTATATCTGTTCAATTTAAAGTTTAAGGAGTTTGTATAAGGAAATCACACTTTAAGAGCTTGTTTGAAAACAAGAAGGAAAGGCTACTCTGTTACTTTCCCTTCTAGAAGAGGGCACAATAGGGAGAGGGTTGGGTGGCAAGGACCCATGGTGTTCTCAAGATTCTGTTGAATCTTAAATATAAATTAGAGAGTTCAAAATCTGTCTAAATGTTTTAGCATCCTCGTGCTGTTTAAAGTTTTTGGAATGTAGTGCCCAAGATGGTTGGTTGAGTACTGACCATGGTCTATGATTAATTTCTCTTGCAGACCGGAGAAATATGTCTTGACATCTTGAAGAATGCTTGGAGCCCAGCTTGGACCCTGCAGTCTGTTTGTAGGGCTATAATTGCTTTGATGGCCCACCCAGAACCTGATAGTCCTCTAAACTGTGATTCAGGTAATTGAGTTTATGTACTTTGTGTTTGAACATTATATATTTACTTTGACTGGTGACCAAAAACCAATAATCAATAGCAATGCCTTTATGCTGATACAATGATTTAACATTTAGTTTATGTACTTTTTCATTGTTACTATCTCGAAGGAAGCAGTAACTCATGATATTGCGGTAATTCCTAAAGAAGGTTCTTCAGGGATTGATGAGATCTCTGATAGTATCTACCTTTGGTATGGTAAAAATGCAAGGGAGATTTTGAGATAATTGGTAATAGAGGGTCCTTAAAAATCGGAGATCTCTCTCCTGTGCTATTTTACCTCTTTTCTTTGACACATCATGCTTATGCTAGTTTGCCATTCCCATTAAAGTTGTTTCCTCCTTTGGTGGTTTGGAAGTGCTATGGCTGAGAACGCTAGGATCGGAAAGGAACAGGTATTGTGAAGGCTTAGCTTGTTATTGGTTTTTTTCCTTTTTCTGGTTAATTTAGGTTTTTATGTAGAATCATGCCCGTCTGTCACAAAATCATTGTCATGAGTTAATCACCATCACATAGTTTTTAATTAACCAAGGGCAATGACTATTTGTTTCACTATTCATGGCATAAATTCCATGCCAGAAAGTATTTTCTTCTTGCATATAGAACCCAGTCACCTGTGTATTGGAATTGAATTGAGGCCATCGGGCATAATTCTGAAACATCAAAAGAGCTGCTATGACAGGATGACCTATAGGATTATGCATCAAATGGTCTCTTTTTGAGTTTTGACAAATCCATATCCAAGTTTTGCAGATTTGATGTGTGTGGATGGATAATGATTGTGTCTCTTCCTAATGGACCATAACACTTGTGCAGGCAACCTTCTGCGTTCTGGTGATGTCAGAGGTTATCAATCCATGGCAAAAATGTACACAAGACTTGCAGCCTCGCCAAAGAAGAGGTGATTTTGTGTAACTCGATTTCTTCGTCATAAGAACGACGTCTTGTTATCATCGTAAGTTAGAAGAAATGTCGGTGACATTTGGAGCTGTTGAACTTGAAATTTCAACCATTTGCTGTGCTTTGAACTAGGTACCGTATATACATTGGACAAGAAGGATAAATCATTGTTGAGACCTAATGGACATTTGTCTATGATAGAAAAATCTGCCATTTTTCGGCATCTAATTCATCTGACAAGCAACGGAAAGGTTCCTAACATATTGAACTAGTTATTTTGGAAATGAACGAGTAGTGATACGGCTTATGAACCTGCCAAACCCTGCTTGGGCCAGCTCTCGTACAACTTCATAAGAGCAATAAAATACTAAATAAATTATTTTGGAAATGAACGAGTAGTGATACTGCTTATGAACCTGCCAGACCCTGCTTGAGCCAGTTCTCGTACAGCTTCATAAGAGCAATAAAATACTTAATACAATTTTGAGCAAGAGTGTATTTAAAAAATAATAATGAGAATTTGCTTTGACAAGGTTGAGCAGGGCGATGGTGGCTACAAGTATGAATCTTTTAGTTGGCATCTGAACTGATATTGAACTGAGGGGTGAGTATTTTTTGAATAATTAGTTTATTTAATTAATAGGTAAGTTATAGAAATTGTCAAATTCAAACTGAAAAGTGAACACAATTAGTTTATTTAATTAATAATTCCAGTCAAATAGTAATTAATAATATAATATAATTAAAATAAAATGAAATAAACAATAGAAAGGTCCAAATATTTTTGTTTTTTTACGCTAATTTCTCTATTTTTTTTACTAATTGACTCATTACTTTGTCATTTACAAGAAATGAGTCTTTTAAAATTTTAATAGGCTATTTAACATTAATTACTCAAAGAGTCAAGCATACCACTTTATATATTTGCTAGCTAAAATATAGAAAATTATCAATTAATATGGTAATAGTTTACGTAAGTAACTATTAAGAATGAATAAGTATTTTTATTTTATGAAAATAAAATCCACTAATAACTTGCATCTTTAAAAAAAGTATAATAATTATAGTTAAAATCAAATTCTTGATTATTAGGTTGCAAGTTTTACAAGATATAAATTTGGAATAATAAAAATGCTAAGATACAGATTACTAGATTACACAATTTTATACTTCTTTCAAACTTGTAAAATCGGTACGGGTTTACTGATTTTACCGAGTTTGACCGATTTTACTGGTTTTTGAGTTTTTAGTATGATTCTACATGTTATATATATATATGATTTTATGAGTTAACTCGTGATTTTGACAACATTACTTGTGGGTACTCATTACTATCCTTATCTAGAAGTCTATGACATGGGAATTGGCGTTGTATTGATATATTAATGTATAAGTCCTACTATCTATTTAAGTGAGTATTTGTACTAAAGTCATGTCTTATTAAATGAGCTCAAGCAAGTTATCAATTAACACAATTCTCATTCTAGCATAATGACAACATCATATACTAAATAGAGGTGAACAAGAAAATCAAACAACAAAAAAACCAAGAAAGCCAAAAAAATTAACCAAAAAACTAAACTAAGAAAAAACTAATTAAGAAACCCAAAAATTTTATGGCTTGGTTCAGGGTCAAGTCAAAACTTCTAAAATTGTTTAAATCGAACTGAATCTGTTCAGTTTGTAGCTTCAACCAAATCAAGTTATAAAAGACTTATTTTCTATGAAACCTTAATTCTCTAATTTCCTTTCATCTCATTGTTGCTCTTTTCTCTCTCTCTCTTAACAATTTGCTCTTTTATATCCCATGACCTCCTCCCCACTCTTTGTCTCTTGTCTTCGGTCCATGGTTTCTTAATAGTAATACAGTCTCTTTACTCCATATAAGTTGCTTCCTCACCACCTTTATTTACAGTTATGAGCTTTAATGTTTAAAATTGCTTTATAAGATGGTATGTGTGGATTTTGATAGGCGGGTTACTAAATATGCATATTTTCTTTAGAAAAAAGCCTTCATACTCAACACGTGATTTAGTATGCTCTTCAAACAATATTTTAGAATTTTGTACACACATGATTTTATTTTTAGAGTGACTTATTAATCATAAGTAACAAAGAAAATTAATAACCAATTGTAAAACAAAAAAAAAACCCATTTTATAAAGTAATTTAGGAATGACTAAGGGTTTAAGGCTCAACAACTCTTTTGCTCTCAAAAAATTTTGGGGTCACTTAATTAATCAGTCCATTCAAATAAAATTATAAAGTATTTCGATGCATATTGTAGAAAGTATTGTTGTTGGGTACATGCTAAAAGACTACTAAAAGCTTCTTAGCTTGTTATATATGGTTGATAGAATTGGAATAGAGAGGGATGTCATTAATTTGCTTCCAAAAGAAAGGAGGGAGTTTTTTTTTTTCCATGTTTTGATGATATTTATGGTAGGTTTTGTGTAAGTATTCTAGATGTTTTTATGCTTATTTTTTAGATACTTGTTTCTTATCTTATGTGATAATTTCCTACTAAGTGGATCTGTTTATAGAAATATCTAAATCTATTATTTGACAGCTCTCTTTTATCATTATAGGCTACTTCTCACTTTACCTTATCTAATATTAGAGGTAGAATTTGGTGAAAAGTAGCAAATGAAAATGGATGATAGTTAGTATAAAAATTGATATCATTTGTAGGTAGCTAAGTTTACCATATCTAATATTGTTCTTTTGGGGTTTTGTAAATACTTTGTTGAAAAAAATATCAAACTTTTACTGCTAGGTAAAAAATATAATGTTTTATATTAACTATTGTTTCCTAAATGATATATTAACTATTGTGAACACTTCCTTCTCATCAATCATCACACAGTTCACGCTTCCTTTTCCATCAATCATCATGGCTGGCATCAGATCTATCGGCAAGAAATCAACAATACAAGTAATAAGTTTGCACTTAAGATGGTTTATTTTATGCTTAATGATATTTTTATGCTAATATCTTAGAACAACATTATATTCTTTCCTATTTTATTTACTTTTTTCTTATGTAATTATTTATTTATTTGGGCTCCACCACCGACCATGAAACTAAATTTTCTAAACATGTACATAATTTTGTTTTAAAAAGAAAACAACAATCAACATCATTATCAAAGATAGCTTTCGGCGTAGACTTATGCTTGGAAATCAAGCTAAGTCCATATACATTCTCTCATAACGTCTTTTTAAATAATATGAGTAATCTAACAACTAAAGAGTAGGGTTATTGTTAAGTTACTCCTCATTCCTCTTCTTTTTATTGCACCTGAATCCTAATGGATTCTACAAATTCCTCCAGGTTTATACCATGTTTAATTACTAAAATTGCTTAATCAGACAACATGTTTTCAACCTCGTCTTCCTTGTTTGTTGTCTCAACTATTTATTGTTCTTTTTTTTTCCCCAAAAAACCTTCTATTTCCCATTTCAATTACTAAATCCCTAAACCTGTTCTCTATATCGTCTATTATGTTTTGGATGCTACCTGTGCTACTAACAAATTTAAGCATATATTTGTTGTTTCTCAACTTTATATGGTGTGGATGTTTACAACCCTCGTTTAGTATCACATAAGATTTTAATACCTATTAAATGTCCTTTAGAGTTGGCTAATTATGAAAGTTTATGTGACCATGATTCAAATTTTGATAATTGTTTACATTACATTCCATAGAGTCCACTATGTTAGTGTCTTATGTGTTAGAATAAAAAATAAATTGCACATATAAAAGTTTTGATTCTTAAGGTTCATCTATAACTCTCGTCTAACTATTTGAGTCCAAATTATCTAGGCTTGGTTGTTGTTGAAGTGTGTCCATATTTGAGTCCATGCAGTTCTCTACCCATATAACTTTAGAATCTAATGTGTTTGTTAAAGTTTGTTGAACTTCCCTTTAACAAGCTCAAGTACCATGTCATTTGATAAATATTTAATAGAGGAGTTGGTTTAAACTACTTTGAAAATTTGGACTAGGATTTGCTGAAATCTGGTTGTTATAAAATTAGCATAAACAGTTACATATTTAATAAACTACATCTTGAGAGTTGGTCAATGGTATAAATGAGTTTATTACATATATTAATACTAATACTAATAAAACTTTGTATTTTACAATTTTGATTCAGGAATTTGAACATAACACAAGAAAAAGGTGGTTCTCAATGTATGCCAATGTAAAATGATGCCTTTAATCTAAAAATATACAAGTCTTCAACACCAAACACCATAAGTAAAGAGGTTAGCAATGTTGGTCAATAGAATATTAATGCTGGAAAAGTAAGAAGTTTTGTGTAGGAGCATTTTATTAAGCAATATATAGATGGGGTGTCAAAACAAAGTGCAATTATTATTCCAGGATACTTTCTAGGAATTCAAAATCTAGAACAAGTCATTTACGTAGCCATTACATGACTTGTAATATGAGAAAATAGCATGATATACAACAAGAAATTATTACAAAAAAAAAAATAGTCTTATGAAGGGAGAGAGTAAATCATTAGTTACATACAATTTTAATGAAGAGATTTCTAGAAAAAAGCTTATAAATACCATTATTTTACGTGAGTACCCACTTTTCATGGTGGGCTATGTTAGATTTTGAAAATTCCTGAATGCATTTCAACCTTTGTTTAAGGTTTCTTGATGAAATACCATAAAAAAATATCATTCTAAAAGTTTATGATGATGAGGAGCTACACAAATTAAAGAACAATGTTGGTTGAGTAATAATTACAATTAATATGTGGACTTCTAATTATCAGAAAAGGGGTTTAAGATCATTACAACTCACTTTATTGATGATGAATGAAAATTACAAAGTTATATATTGAGATAAGATTTATTTATTCTGTGTTGTTAGTAGCTTTTGCATTATTTATTATGCATATTTATTATTTTGCTTTGATTTAGGCTTATTTATTCGTCATGCCCACACACAAAAGAAGTGCTACCTAAAGTGTATGGATTGGAATGTTGATATTAACTTGTCAACTATTACATTAGATGATTTCTCACTAATAATGCATTATCTGATTTTAAAGATAAATTATAAGCTAGTTCATTGATATTGAATGATGATTTTATTCATATGAAGTGTTGTGCTCATATTTTGAACTTGATAGTGAAAGACCGGTTGGGAATAATTTAAAGAGGAATTGAAAAAATCAAAGAGTATACTTTATCGGACAACTTCACTC